TTGGTCAGTGTTTTTTATTAATAATTCAAAAACTAAGCTTTAACCAGCATTTTGGTAAAGGAAAAAGTTGTTCAGAATCACCCCAGCTACCATCCCCGAAAATTATGCCCACCAGTAGCCGAACACCCTGTATACAGCTGAGACGACACTGAACAACGTTATCCATTACAAAAATGTTGGTTGTACAGTGAGTTCATTAACCTAGCAGCGACAACACTTATTATGCGATGTATATTTTCTTTTCCGGAAGATCAGGGTTGGTGGAACGACCTAGTTACGGAGATATATTTTCACCGAAGTAAGACTTCTTTTAAACAATGAGTGAGTCCGATTTATATTATTTCTACATATTTTGTGAATTTAAAATAGACAGGAATTAATACATTAGTTACTCATTAGATTTAAAACTTCTTTTGATGAATAGAAAAGTTATTTTTTCTTCAAAATGTGCGAATTTGTTGTTTTACATCTTCGTAACAAATGACAAGAACGAGTGAATCGAATTTGTTTAAGTTAATAAAAAATAATTGGTTTGTCCCTTACCTATTAATAAAATATAACATTGTTGCGATGTGAAGTGAGCCTCACGACTTATGAAGTGTGGCTGGTCCTGACCACAAATTGAAGCGGTCTGCGGAAGTCGTTAGGCGGGACGAGTGGATCGAGTGGTCAAGACTTTCGGTAGCTGAGAGCAACCGCGGTATTTAACTAGTTGAGTGCGTTCGACGTGTATACACGTCGGACCAATCTCTACTGCGGTGCGATTGACGTGTATACTCGTCGTGTAAAATAAAAAATTACCATTAACTATAAAAACTCGAAATCTCGAAAAACTCGAAATCTCAATAAAATGTAATAAGAATATTATTTGATGGTATGTTCCCTTTATATTACCAATAGGACCGCTATGTATTTCATATGGAGGGGGCTCCATCAAAATCAAATCCTCTCCGAAGATGTGTCGTTTGCTCAGAAAATGGAAAACGTAAGGAAACAAGATTTTGGTGTATTCCCTGTGAAGTCGTACTTTGTGTGGTACCGTGCTTTGAAACATATCACACATACATAGCTTGAAATTTTGTGAACTATTTTCTTATTTTTCTTGTTTATTCTTGTTATTTTCAATTTTTCTTGTTTATGTATTTTATTGTTTTTTCACAATTTTCAAGCCTTTAGTAAGAATAACATATTCAGAGACGAATTGTTAGTCTTTTTGACGAATAAAAATATAATCCTTCCTGGTTTTACGTAAAATGTATAATAGTACCATTTGCCCTGCGTTCGACGTGTATATGTTACGGTGAAAGACCGAAATCTGGTGAATGTCGACATTCACATAGTCGCTTGGTGTATGTCCGAAATATTTGCTCAATACCCTTATGTCGGACTTACACCGGTGAATGTCGACATTCACCATGCACTAATGGTGAATGTTGAACATGTCGGAGATTTATATTTTCTTCTCCGTAATTCAGTCGCTATAAAACGTCACAAGGGTCACGAAACTTTTTCGCCTCTCTTTCTGAGAGGAGAGACCAAGAATTTAAAACACATAGTACATTCTAAGCATACGTGTTCTTCCTCCGTGGCCTCTTCTGGCGTGAGTTTCGTGTAGTATACTGAACAATTTTTCATTGGTAACATAATACTGTATGTTCGTTTCCCCTGATTTTAATGGTACAATTAATTTCCTTTCATCATTAATTTTTAAAACGTCAAAACGTTTTAATCGTCTGTAATCCAAAGGTGTGTTGCACTTAGTTTTAACAGAAACCAATTCAGAAAGTATTTTAGAGTACTTTTCTTGAGAAAAATAAAAACAATTGTGTTGGAAAACCGGATTCAGATAATTCGGGATTAACTTTAAATAGTTAATTTTATTTCCGCACAAATATCTTACAACAGTTAACTAACGAGTTTATGAACTAGCACGGTTGAGTTGCGAATAAATTCTGACGAGACGGAGTAAAAATCGTGAAAAAGAAACCTTTTAGGAAAATGCTTATTGATTGAAACTATTTAACGAGGGTGGAGGAAAAGAACAGGGATTGGACAAAATATTGAAAGAAAGTGAATTTCGAGAGGTGGTAATTTATGGGTACTTGAGTGGACTAGGACTGATGACAGGAAGGGACCCAAGGTTAAGGACAAGGAAATAGGAACAGCATGTTAAAGAGAGTATTTTGCGAAGCATATGGTTGGGACCTCCAACACCTCCCCCCATTAGTTTAAAAACGTTAGTTTTTATCATGATAACTGACTTAAAACAACAATGAATTGGGTTACATTATGTACTAGGTAAGTAATTGTTACTAGAATACGCTGATTATCGAATTTACATAAATATAAGAAACTTAAGTTTAAAATTACACACACGCATAAAGTTTCAAGTTCAAATATGTGTCCCTACTATAAATTCTATCTAATATTCAAATAAAAATATAGAACATTACTAGATTTTACGGATTTTGGTTACAAAGAGATAATAAGCTGTATACACACAAAACTGAAATTACATAACTATGAAAGATAACTCAACATCACATTATTAAAATTATACTTAATTATAGAGATTACAATGGAATGAAATATTATTTTATCATTGTTGATATTAATACTAGCGACTTAATATTATGGCAATATGAGCTTAAACAAAATAATACATACTAATACACACAAATATATATATAAAAGGAAGAAAAAAAAAACATAGAGTCAAACTACTATGAGCTTAAACAAAATAATACATACTAATACACACAAATATATATATAAAAGGAAGAAAAAAAGACACAGAGTCAAACTATAATTTATAACGGTGTCGTACTTCTTCGGTATTTTATGCCTTGATTAAAACTGCGAGTTGATTGAGACGGCAAATTGTTAAACTCAGCCTCTACAATGTCCTCGTCCAGGTATGCAGCCTCTTCGGTAGCTCCTATGTTAG